AAAAAAAGACCAGATCACACAGTGGAAATGAAATCCTTCATCGTTTTCTATTAATAGTAGTGTTAATGGTGAACGGATAGGCGGAGATACCTGTAAGCTTGCCCTCTCCCTATTGGTGGAATCTTTGCCCACAGTAGCATAGAAGGAGTTAACTTTTTGAAAACTGTCAACTCCAGCAATAACTATCTCCAGCTACACCTACGCCGTAGACATGCTCTAAGGAGAACTTCATGAAATTACTTCAGGGTACGATGCAGGGAGTGCTTCTGCTAAGCGGTAGCGTCGCAAGGATGTGTGGCCCGATTTTCGTAGCGTAAGTGCTCTATACCACTCTCGCTTCCTAATCTAGTAACATACTCTTCTTCCAGAAATCTCTTTACGGAATATGGCCCACGACCGGCCTGGGGTATGGAAATCGCATTCGCTGGAGTCTGTGCGCTTTTATGGATAATCTTCTATAAACGAATGGTTCCACTGAAACTTCCAAAAAGTTTTAGTGCTGGCGAAATGTTCAGAAATAAGCATGGGATGGTCTACAAATTCTAGCCAATTAGATCTACTGCATATGTTGCCTATTCATTGAATTAGGCTCAAACTTGTGCATTCTGTTGAGCTCCTACTTAGGAGCAAAATTACTTGTACATATTCCACGTAACGACTCGCTTTGTTACCATTATTTCGTCAGAAATAAAAATCTTGTTTTATGTAAAACCCAATATTTTGCTGTGCCACAGTTATGAACGCTATACTTTGCCAGGTGGCAGACTTTCGGGCGTGTGGAGTACGAATCTGCCCAAGGAGATTTCTTTAGATGCGTCATGAGCGGTACGGTGCGGGGCTGCGCCTATTCCAGACCTAATGGCATGTGCCCTTCATTTTACCGATATATTGAAAAATACTCACTTGTTCCCAAAAAAACTGGATCGAGTTTCTTTATCGCGCTCTGCGTCCTCCCTTCGAGAAGGTGCTTGTTAATTCTTAGGTAAGTCCAGTGTGAAAACTTTTCAAGTAAGACTGAAATTAGATTGAGTAGAACCGGTCATAATCAATACCACTATTTGATGGTTAATATTACTAATCAATAACGGTTGCAGTTGATGCGAAACATGTTTCAGTTGCCTCAGTCAGTCACTGAACACTCTCTCGGTGACAGGGAATGAAGACGCAACCTGGGATGTCAGTATTTCTACACCGATTGATGTGGTAAGTGGCAGTGGTCCCGCGGCAATTACCGTAATCTCCACCTTCACCGCGCGCGATATCGTGCTATCGCAAGCGGTGAACTGTGGACGCCGCTAGGGTACGAAAACCCATACTCGGGTATTCTAAGAGGATATCGTCTCCCTTCTTTACCTTATATATGAGTATGTTATACTCATGGCCGAGGGCTTCTCATAGCGCATAACACAGTGTTTTGTGTATTGTCAATAAAACTTCTTTGCCAACACACAATAAACGCAGCTCTTTATCAACGTTGATTAGAATCATCTTAATTATGCTTTTACTTAAGAAATTCTATGGAGCATCTTGAACGCAGTAAATGCTATAACAATCTAGGACTAGATCAAATAATGAATAGAACATAAAAGCTCCATACACGGCGCTATCGAAGTGAAATCAATTCAAAACATAACAGGAATCTCCTCCACCTTAAGAACACTAAAAATCTCCCTACATCAGGAATTACACAGAATATATCAGAAAACGAAGGACTTGCTGTACTGGACCAAGTTCACGCCGTATACTATACTGACAATCAAATCAGACCTGTATACCTGATTACAAACACTATAATAAAGCTAATCACCATTAAAGAAGTGATATTATACTAGCACATTTGGATCGATAAACCCGCATCCCATTATTAGAACTCTAATCGAATGTTTCCCATTTGTTCTTGGGTTTGACCGGTGCCGAATTCGTATCGTTCGGGCTGGTCGGCGTTTTGAAGGGATCAAAAAAGGGATCTATAGCAGTTGTGTAGAATGTTGACTGACTGAAACAAAGAAGGAGATTCCAATTTATCCCAAGGATGGCATAATCAATGAAAAAAAGTACTAACCCTACTGGAATAGGCGCTGCCACAGGTACTCGTTGGGGTATGGGTGGAGAAACCGAAGACGATGGAGATGATACCAAGTCCAAGAAGAGAGAATTCGTCTAAAAATCGGAAAATGACAAAAGGTTGTTCATCGGAATGTCGAATTCCTCACTTACACTGTCATGAGGAACAGGATTCTCAATGGGTGTATCAAAATCGATGAGATTGGCGACCGGTACATTTGACGAGTCATCTGGGCGAGGAGATGAACCATTGGACGAGTCGCTATCAGCCTATAAGTATTAAGTAGACAGAACAGCATTTTATTGAAAATAATCGACATTCCAAACACAAAAAGCTCTCATAAACGCACAGATTCAGAGCCGACCTCATAGCCACTCGCACCTTCTCCCTCATTTCTCATCGCTGAACTATGCCTCACCCCTGGCTCACGCCATTGGATGTTGTCAAATGACATTGGCTCGAAACCGGCACTTTTTGACCCTTTTTTCAGTGTCCAATTCTTCGGTTTCCGGATATCCTTCGGCGTCAACTTATTTAGTTTCGCACCGATCTGAAAATAAAATCTAGAAGTTTGGAGGGAACTGCATCCAAAAAAAAAACTGTGCCCGTAATATTTCAATTGCGCTTTTTTTCCGCCAATCGAAGTTTCCAGCTTTAATTATTAGTTACTGGGCTCCCAGTAGGCAAACGGCAAGTACGGGGCTCTTGAAATATCTCCAGGTCTCTGGAGAGGTGCTAGGATAGTAAAGTAGTGCTGAATAACTCGCTTGGCAGAAGAAGAAAATGGAACACATGGAGGAAATGCGTCAGATATATTTTGCAATTATTCGAGAATTTAAGATATGCATCCAACAAAACGACTGCCCAGTATCAGAGATTATTAGCGGGAAGAAAGGAACTTCTTTGATATCGATCTTTAAGGAGTGGAGCAAATTAGCCATACAAAGCAAAAGAGCAAAAATTTAAAAGGCAAGGTATGAAAAAGTCTTTAAAGCGGACCTAAAAAAACTTGGACTACAAGACTCAGGACTGAAAAATGGTATTGATCAGATTGTTTTAATGGGCGTCATTAAAATAGGTTTTATGCACTGCAAAAGATTGGTGCGATGGTTCTATCACGTTTCTATCGAGTCAGAAATAATCAATACACCATATTTCTAGCGCCGCGCGATCATGCTGTGTCGAGCGAAGGTGAAGTGTAAACATCAGTCACTTGAAAAGATTCGAAAGAGCGATAATAACATTTAGTATCATTACAAAAACGTGACCAGATACAGATATTAGGCCATCGTTTGATTGTTTTCAAAGCTCAAAAAGTAAACATCATTGCCCTCATCCTTAGCAATCAATCATTACTCACGCGAAACAGCAAAAATTGTATGTTAGGACTATGAAAGCAGAGAATTTTCATTATAAATTCGTAGTGCCTTACAACATTTATTTCAGTTGAACGTGGCAACTTCCTTTGAACATCTAATTACTACACATTTCAATATTTGAACTAACCTGAATTCCCGTTACTTTATCTTTCAGCGCCCCGATTACGTCACTTGCATTGTCCTTCACCTGAAATTGAGAACATTAGCTATCGAAACTTTTTACCAACGTTTGCAACTAATGCCGAACACCAAAGGGTAGCAGTTCACCACAAACTACGATGGTTTTGACATCACAGCAACAGGTTCAACACAACTGTGAACCAAAAGGTATGTGAAACACATAACACGTACATTTTGGATGCGCTACATTTGCTTACATTTACTTACATACACTTACACTTTGCATTGCTTGTTGTATCGCTTCGGGATTTACTGCCTATAAATTTTAATTCTTTGTGGAGGTTCACATGACCACCACTTATGTCTATGAAGAAAGTTACAAGTTCTTCAAGTAAACATTGAAAGATAGTAGCCCTACCTGTATCTTTAACTTGTCTATGTTTCCGATTTCCGTTTCGAACTCATCCGAAATTGGCAAGCCACTGTTGAGAGCCCTTGTCCGCTCCTCGATAAACTTGATAAAAAGACATTTCAAATCGTTCGGGATCTTTCAACATTATTTTACTCACCCTTTCAAGATATTGAACACCGTCCGTTCCTATAAGTGACGATAGAAATGGTTGAAACGAGGATCTCTGTTCCCGAACAAACTTCTCCTTATCCCAGTGAACCACCTAAAACTTCGTATCAGGGAAACCAAAGAGCACAGCCGGGGATAGTGATGACGCGTTTTTGCATCCTCACCGCGGAAACCACGCGATGAGTCATTGGAAGAAGATGAGATATCATAGCAAGGAGTCTCTAACAAACCCCCGTTGATTCGCTCCTGACAAAACCCATTCGATAACCGCCGAAGAGTAGAACATTGGCACGAAGGAAACTTCTCGATATCGAATCTCCCATGTCGGACGAGCTTTTCAACTGGGCTTTAAGATACATCACAACCTGGAAACGAATTGTACAGAACGCATCAAGCAAAGGGACGGATAAATACAGTACCTCATTCGGGATGTCAGCCACATCGTTATGTGCGCTTTGAAGTGTTTTATCTTCAAGATCCACAATAACGACCTCACCGAGATCTTTTAGCACCTGAACAGGAAATTTGAAAAAAATGAAAAATGGAGGCTCTTATAGGGCAATTTGAAAAAAGAACTTTTATTAAGTATAATTTTGAATATTTGAGGCCCGTGTCCTATCAACATTCATTTTGATTTTTCGATCGAGCCGAGGTTCATCAAATTGTGCATTAGTGATGATATGAGGGAGCAAATTCTACACAAACTTCCACCGTTCACTGCTTTAGAGAGTTCTTTGTTGCAAAGGACCGGGCCCAAAATCGCTCTTCTTACAATTAGCAAACTCTTATATGACCTTACCACTATTCTTGCTTCTAAACCGGGACTATGGGAAAAATTCATTAAAAAGAACCCCCAAATTAGTGTCACGTCCTTCTCGAAAAGAAAAAAATTCACTGTTTACACCAAAATGAGATGGGTTGACAGCAAAACATCTCATAGCAGTAAAATTTAGTCCAACCGGTCTATATAGTTTGAAATCTTACGTTTACTTCCATTACTTGCTTCGGAACACCGATAAGAAATGGCATCGGAGCCATGACCATATCAAGCAAAGATTCCGGTAAAACTGGTATGAAAACGGATTGCCTAAATAAGTTACTGGAAAATGTTAGCCATTTAATGTGATCAGTAAATGAAAAGAGAGGAAAATATATAGTAAATAATATGATAACAACAAAAAGTAAAAAAGCAGTATGATGTATTATATCAAATACTGAAATGAATAAGACCGAGTGGTTGGCATGCAGAACAAACGTTCGAAAAACTAACTAAAGCGGTGACAACAAAAAAACCCTAAGCCCTACACCTCTGTTGTTCAATTTACCATTCTCCTGACTTCCCAAAAGAAGAAAAATCTGATTCTCTCACAAAAATTCACTACTCACCAAAACATTGGGTAAAGAAGTGTTGAGGCTGCATAGATGCATGAACTGAGCTGACTCAATTTCCTTCCAGTGAAAATAATGCGACGTTCTTTGAGCAAACTAGAAACGAATTTACAATGTAAGAATAAAAAAAAATTATCACACAATATTTATGAGAAAAGAGCTAACCTAGCATAAATAGCCAACATTTGTCTTGGTGACACAGCATTATAAAACTCCAACATGAACTTGTCTTCACGAAGCGTGGGCAGTTTAGTAATATCGGGAACTTTCACTTCGAGTTTCTGCAAAGAATACATTCCTTAAGAAAGGAAGAACCTAAGGATGCATTCGTATTGATTACAGCAAGAGATTACTGATTGAGAAAAAATCGGGTGGGTTCATAAGAGTAAATGAAAAAAAGGGCCGGGACTAGGGAAAAGGGGATGCCGCTCTTTTCTGCCTTAACTCTGACCTGCCCAGTTTTTAATCTTCCCACATTGCTACTGATACACACCCTGGATGAGCTAGAGAGGAAGGGAGATTTAAAAGTTGTCCCTCCACCTTGACTGACCCCTGAGGCTATAATTCATAACCATGTGTCCCCCTGAAGTCCAAGCTATACGGAAGGAGGGCCTATGGTGTAGTCAATGGACTGGATGTAGAAGAATGGCGTCTTGTATTGACGCGTGACCGGGAAAGAGGAGGTGAGGGGGACGGTCTATATCATAGTCACATGCTAAATGATGATGCCAGAACTATCGAAGAATCAAGTGTCATCTCATTGAATTTTTTTCTGATCAACCCACATGCATGCCATTGTGACATTCAAATTGTAGTGTATCGCCGATATTAGGAATGTCCGTATGATATATTCGCGTTAGAATTGCATCCAGATCATCTTGCTGAAAAACGAAAACTCAACTTTAGATTGAGAACATTAATGCTAGCAATAAAAAAATAAAGACTTCAGCACAAAAGAATCCCGCTTCTGGGATGCGCCTCGCATCCGAGTACCATTCAAAAACGTTACGACAAGCTAGCTTATGCAATACTTCTGTTAGTCAGACCGAAGTACTACTAAGTGCAAACATCCTCCCAGACGAATCTGGCACCAATAACGAACTTCGAAAGGACGGAAGGCTTGATTGGTCTGGGCAAGTAATCCGAGTTCCGAGATTTAATCCTCGGACCTTACGTGTGGGATAAAGCGTTTCTTACCACTCCACAACATTTGCCTAGCATTAGCAATATTCCAATAAAAAGTATTATTCAAGCAATTACTCTGAACTCACCGTGCCATTGTTCATTATAAGTGAGACGTGATTCAATATTTTATAAAATACTCCAGGCCACGAAAAACCACTGAAAAAANNAAAAAAAGCTTCAAGAAAAACATCGAAAGAAACAAAACTATTACCGTTACCTCAAAATGCAAATACATGTATTGTTTCTAGGAGTATATCGACAATAACCGAATGTATATTGAGATTGTGAGTCGGTCAAAACAAAGGAGAACAGCTGAACCGCATCAGAATCAGCTCTAAATGTTCAAAACTTTGTACCGTCACATCACAAATGATGAAAAATCGATAAATCTTTGAAAGGAACCTAACGGTTGATTCGCAACAATAAACATACATTACAGCTTTTCATTTTCTTCATTACTATCTTCTTATCGTATGGGATCCAACCAGATACGTAGAGGGCCGACTGTGAGTTGGTGTCGTAGGTACGACCCCAATGGAGTGTATCGTGCAGCACAATGGAGTGTATCGCACAACGCAAGAGTTTTCTAGGCCCTATCTATGCGAGAAAGGAATACCCTTTGAAGAAATCTAGGATCACAGGTAACTTATAACTTTCTATTCAGGTAATTAGGATAGATTCAGAAACAGTGAGTACAGCATTCAGAAATACAGTGGACATGAAGCCCTGTAAACCAGAACAAGCGTCCCTTCACCCCTCTAACACCTGGTTGGAAAAAAATTATGGACCCCGAAATAGGATGAAGAGCAATAACCACTGGGCAAACCAAAATAAATACTGATGGTCCAACCGCTTTGAACAGACATCGAAAGCATAAAGGAGTCCAAAGAAGACTGGTGTCCTACAATTATTCGATCTCGTTCTGTCCAAACCTGCCCCTACACAATAGGGGCTCCATTTCAATGAAAATAGGAAGTGACGAACTTGACGTTTAACCGCATCAGAAGGGGAATAAGTCAATAAAAAGGAAGTTGTAAAAAATGAACAAAGAAAAATAAGCTGTAAATACGAGTTATGAGTGACTAGTCACTAACCGGTAAGTAACAGATCTTCCAGTTCATATTCATATTCAAAGCCATTCAAGAGCAATTTGCATTACTTAGGAAATATCATTTTTAAAAAAATCTTCCCAAAACACCAAATCCGAACAACTTGAGGGTAAGAGGATTATAGCGGGCAGTGTTGCGGATTTACTGGTAAATGCAAATGAGACGAAACGCCACCATGAGCGAAGTACAATAGCATGAGGGTCGAATTTCGGGGCATATAGGATTACCAAGTAGAGTAACTTACTCTTTTAAGCCACACGGGAAGCTAAACTGCCGAACACTCTTCAGAGCAGGCTCATCGTTGTAATCTTCCGGATATTTTGTTAATATCACTGGAAGGCCATCTTGTCCTCCAGCCCCAACCTCACAGAAAACATCGAACAATGTTGCCATATCGGTTCTAAAAATGAGGGAATTTGACTGATAATCTTTCAAAAAAAATTATTTGTAGAAACCTGATTATATATAATTATGTTGGCAACTAAGTAATTGTAGTAAGTAATTTGAAAATTTTTATTTCCCTTTTTTACAGAGAAAAAATGCTCTTTCAGTTATATGATAACCGTAAGTTCTCAAGACCTGGCCCATTAATATATATTACTTCGAAAAAAAAACAGGTAATTGTTTTTTGAGATGATTGAATTACATAGAATAATACGCAGTTACTTAGTTGCCTTACTAGTATGTACTGTGTATGATACTGTTTAGTATCCTGATGACATCCAAATAATGCAATAAAACTTACCGATGCCGGGAGGAAAGGGCTATGTTGGCCGACATGGTGGATGAGAAATTGAGTAACTATAGGGTTCGCTCCGACTTTAAGGCAACGAATCCACCTAGAAGTAAGCAGTAAAAGTAATTGCACTCCGGAACTAGTAACACCAGAATCTAGAATTGAATTTAATAGCATATTTAAATAAGAATAGAACAGATAATAACAAGAAACAGAGTAGGATTATAAGGCATGAGAAATAGTCAAGGGCAAGTCCCGTAAAATGGGCAACAGTCAGTGCAGACCACTAAATCAACTTGGCGACAAAAACTTCCTGTTCGGCTCTGTCTGATTGTTACTTTTTATAACCATAGACCCTTGTAACAATAGGCAATTACCACACCGAATAGAATGTAGGATTGAATGTATGAATAAAATCATGAAACACCGATCTGACTCAGAGTTTGTGAGTGCGGTCGCGACGCGTTCTCACAATCACTACTGAATGCAGTGGCGATTCAGAGATATGTATGGTATTTAACTATAAAGTACGACTTGTACAAGTTAAGAAGAGTACAAGAGCATATGGCAAGAATATCAAGAAAAGATCGCGGTAAAGCAAAAGTATAACTTTGCAGGGACGTAGGAACAGGTTGGTTTCATGGCATGGGTGCGCCTGACTCATTCCTCTGGGTTCCTAGAGTGACAGTCTCCTGTTGTGAATCCAGCGATGTGTCAAAAGGTCCGGGTTTTCTTCGTAGAAAACGACGCATACGTGGACTTTGACCATGTGAGAGATCGCTTCTAATGTGCTGTCACTGACACACTTGCTTTTTCCAGGAAGTACATGATAACCAGTGCTGAGCTCGGCATTTATGTGTACAGCCAGTACCTTTACTGAAATTGAATCGATAATCCAAAAAGACCATCGAACAGAAGAGTTTAGCTGATTCAAAATTACCAAACCATTGTAATTTGAGAAGTCAAAATATGTACATACTGCGCTGACCGTGCCGGGATTCTTTTTCTTAAATTTTGAGGAGTTATTACTAACAAATATCTGAATGAAAGAAATCGAGTCTTGTAATACTTCGTCATATTTTGAAAGAAAAGTGATTTAGATCTCATTTTTTAAAGAAAACGACCCAAATGTTGAGTGCTAGCGAATTGAGCTGTTCGTTCAGAAATGAACTTAAAGATAGATTGTAACGAGATTCGTGAGTTTTGCTAGAATTTTGCTAGAAGAAGGACTTTAACATGCACTGTTAGAGCAAACATTCATGAGACGGCTTCTGATCGTTGTAATGATAGAAAATGATTACAATGGGAGGGATTTATAATGAATCACCACACGCGAGCATGTGAAGGTAACATGCCACCAATAGAGCTGCCGCGACGCAGCCGCACTCATAAAATTTTGGTAAGGTCAGCTGGGCGCCGCTGTTATGTGGGACATATCTATCAAATAAAAACGAGGGTATATGTTATTAGGTTGGCAACTAAATAACGCCGTACTTTTCTTATTACTTCGAGCATTCATTCTGAAGGGTAATTACCTGTTTTTTTCAAGTGATTCATATTTACGTGACCAGGAATTTGAGCGTTTTGTGGTCTATAAGCGAAAGCGTATTTCTTGTTTTTGGTACAGAAGTAGTAATGTTTTTCTGGAGTGTTCGCTATTGCTCATTTGCTAACATAAAACTTATCCGCCCAAATTCCACATACTTTAAGTTTTCTCCTTTGTATGCGGGTCGTACTTTTTTCAAGTTATTTAGTGTTTTTAAAGTATTTGAGTCCATTGCAGGCTATGGCCCATCTCATCACACCCGTTGATATACCCGGTATTGTCAAAGATTTCCAAAGAATCGTGGTCGACCTGAAGGAAAGCGACAAGGTATGAATTGCAATTTTTTGTTTTTATTTGTATAAAAAAAGGAAATACTTGTTAAGATCAATCGTTCTCTGTCATATGCTCATCGAGTCGCTGATGTTATTCAGAGGAGATGTGGCGATGCAGCGGTGGTATGTACATCATCGACTTCAGTTTTATCGACCCTTGGAAAATTTAAGAGATAGTTTTCCACCATTTTTATCAATCCTATCCTTTACTACGCTCATATTTTAGCGGCACATCCCTGGACAAGACATAGAGGAGCACAAAAAGAATCGAAACAGACAGGTTTGCTTTGCTTTTTAGTCATTACTTTACACTTTTCTTGCCCATGAATTAGATGAAGTTAGTGGATCGAGCTTGTGATGTTCAAATAGCTGTTGGGGAAAGTCGTCATGGCGAAACTCGATTCAACAATTTTGTTTTTGTAAATGCGTCTGATTTTGATGGGGGNGGGGGAAGTTATTTCAGCTTGGTGAGCCATCCGCTCTGTGGCTAGCCTTAGTTTTCCTTTCTAAATCATCATTATCTCATTGTTTTCTAGCTACGTGACCTGGACAATGAAAATCGCCAACTGCGACAGCTCTATGAAGACTCGCAATGGACCCTCCATCTGGTAATGGAAGCACATCGAAGGTTAATGGAGGCTACTTTCGGAAAAGATAACGATTTAGCTTCCACAAGGAAGCAAAATGAAGAGGAGGAAGTCTGTCATTTCACGCGATTTTAGTTAACTGTTGACTGTCATAGTGAGGATATTCCAGGAAAACACTAAGCAAGAGTTTTACGTCAATGCAGCACGAATGACGAAAGCTGTGCACGATATTTTTGAACACGAAAAAGAAATGTCAGACAAGATTCAGAAGGTGGGTAACCAGTTCAGAAAAACTGTGAATCATAAAGGGTGTACTTAGGCTGTAGTTTTTAACTGCCGTGTTACACTCGTTCCTTCTCACGTGCTTGTACTAGTTGGTAGCACTTTGACCTGAGTAATGGTAAATGTGTCTGCTCTGTGCTACAAAAGAATTCTATCGATTGAAAATTACTTGATTGCCCTGTTATTGGCTAGATTGCTCGTTTGTGGTCCGTGTTCGATCATAAACGATTTAGTCGATCTTTCTAGAGGTTTCCATTAGAAGTCTGTAACTTGAATATCGGCAGGGTCAGACTTTTTTTTATATCAAAATCGGACAAAACTCTCTTAAATCTATTTGCACATTTGAACTTTGTCTCTAATTTCAGAGGGTAGAAGAGCTGCGTGTAGAGAATGATATTCTCAGATGTATTTTGGACAGTGAGTCTGGAGCCGATATCCAAAGCATATACGATCGATTAGAAAATAAGTACGCCCCATTTTTTACCGCTTATCTTCGTCGTTATTTGCAGTGAGTACAAATTGGCTACTTGTAGGACTCCCAAACATTCTCCGAGATCTTCCCAAGATGACTTTGGCCGATATGCTCACGGTGACGGTGCTAGCCGCGATAGAGATGAGGAAGCAACACCACGGAAAAAAGCTAGCGTCATTTTAAATCCGAGTATGAACTAAGTGTATTTTTACTTGTTTTTCTATTTACGATCTTTTAGCATTATAACGCTACCTTTACAATTTTATTTTCCGAATGCAGTGAGGGTTATGGTTCGATGCACCATTGTTATGATGATTACTGTAATTACTGCCATATTTACGAGTTTATTACTTTTCATAAATCTTCCCAAATTTTCATTGCTTCGAACTCCTTTAGCTTTACTTCTTTCTCTATTAATTATTTCTTTATCTTCTTCTTTATTTTCTGAAACTTCCAGGCAATGGCGATATAGAGGACAGGACGGGAATTTTCTGAAGAAGTTGTCGGGTCTCCCGTATTCGCGCTTGCTTTTCCTTCGGCTTTACATTTTACTGAAAAAGGTGATGAAAGGCTCAGAGATGAAAACAATTATCTTAAGCAGAATTATAGTAGGATCCAGTCACAACGTTAGTGAGCACCTGATTTCTTAATGGGATGAACCATATGGAAAGGGATAGGCGTTCGTGATGATTTGTGGTGTTTTGTTGTTTCCATACACTGTCAGTTCTTACAGAAACCTGGATTTCTTCTTGATCAGGTAGTTATTGGGAACCTTCGATCCCATGAAACTGAAGTGGTGCCAGTGATAGCGTGAAGTTTAGTAAATACTTTGAAATAGAACTGTGAATAATCTACAAACATTGTGTTCCAAGAAAGAAAACCAATTTCGTAAACAACAAACATTAGTGTAGATCAATATTGATTTGGAAATTGCTGTTGCTGTTCGACCGTGTACCTCCAGTAGTGGCCATGAAGCGGTATACCTTACAAGTCAATATTTCACTGGTTTCATTTCCATTGATTTCGGTTGTGACTTTCGATCCTATTATAATTCATGCTGTAAAATAACTATAGCGAGGCTTATCGTTTATTCTTATTGTGATAATTTATGCAGTATTTATGTACTTTTGTGTATGGTCAGTTTGTTCCTTTTCCATTTTTGAAACCGTTGATACTTCCTTTGGTTGACTGTCGCAGGCTAGTCTGATACCCTGATCTGCTTCCTTAGCGCATTTATGTTGAAAACTACATAAATGCGCTAATAGCACACCTATGAAGCTGCCTTAGCGAAGAATTACTCTTTATCAGTAATTTAATAAGATGTGTATACGAGTTTTTTTTGATCTAGTTGATTTTCAGAGTTGCGCTAGCGATCTATATGTATTTATGTTCTGTACATTTAATATCTTTTCATGTGCTGCCTACTGTGAATGATGAATAAGGTTAAATAAAAATATCATACGTTTCATGTGGCGTAAGCAACGAAATTCACACCATTTTTCGTTTTCTTCTTTTCAAATAGATTATACAAAGAGCGTTGGCATTGCCTCTAAAGAAGAGTCCACGCTGAGCGTATGAAGTACCATTCAAAGTCCGCGAAGTAGTCATCGCTGCAGCGCTGACGCAATATTGATCGACACCTGCCGTTGTCGCGAAGCATGAACCACGTGTGCACTATTGCGTAATTATTGCGCCATAATAGGGTAAAATGCACAAGAAGTGTTCCAGCTCGTCTGTCTGGCCTCGTAAATGGGAAGTTTATTAGCTGCTGCGTTTTTTAGTGGCCACTAAGAAGGATCGTCTTGGGAGACGGGCAGTAGGAACGGTTTTTGTAATCGATTCGCCGCACACGGCTGTCGCGGACCATTCCTTCATCGTTGTGACAGCCCTAGCGTTCTTCATACAGCTCTATCGATATACAGTCCTAATTCTAAGCATGTTTCTACTCTGGTTCCTTTGTTCCTGTATTTCTTACCTGCTGCTGCATTCTACTATATTCGCGCGGCGTCCCTCTTTCCGCAACGCGACAATTTCGTTCCTACTGCACCACACCCGGATCGGCTTGCACTCTGGTCATGGGCCTCATCCAATTACCCTCTAAAACGTAACGGCCACCACTGAAACGGGCAGGGAGGGTGATATTTATATTAAAAGTACAAGTAAAAAACTGATTGAACTTAGCTTATTCGTCCTAGTTTGCGATTTCTCCCTGACTATTTATTATATCGCCTAGAAACCAGTGCACAAATTAAATATCTACGGTTGATTCAGTCAGATGCAATATAGCTGAGCAGTTCTTCGATATCCTTTTTACTACCCATGTATAATGGACATCGTTGATGAATGTCCTCTGGGACAACATCTAGAACCGGTGTCTGAAAAGGTCATACTTCTACAGAGATTGAGCGAACTGAACAGATATGATATTTTCACCTTTCCTGTAGTTGCTAAACCTCCAGCTTGCTCAATGAGAAACGATATTGGAGCACATTCGTAGAGAAGTCGAAGCTGAAATGTACAAAACATTAAAACCACCACCTTTCAGTACAGTAGCGCCGTGGCGTCTCTCAAAAGGAGCAGCGTCTCTGAGAGCCGAAGAACATGTTTAGACTTGGCGAACTTTCTGCCGGCTGCCCGTGAAAATTGTCGATCACACCTGAGTGCAGCTAATACTAGTTTACCCACCTAGACAGAAACTGGTCATGACACCCTACTCTGGCCGGAATGGGTCGTTCCCCTTCGTCCTACCAGAGCCCTGGTTATGTCATATTTGTTGAGAGCCCAGGATATCTGAGCGCTCCCCGCTCATATTCCGTGCTCCCAAATGAACTTTGATGACATGGCTGCGTCACCAAAGTCATTTCGAGTAGTCTTGCTTTACTGCACCAGCTCTACTACTGCAAAATGAGTAACGGCTTTGAATAGAGAAGAGCTGGTTGGTAATATACCAAGTCATACATAATTGTAGAGAATACAAAAGCATCAGACCCATTAAAGCGACTTGAAATCCTAGGGAAATAAAGTTCACTCAAACGATCATGCGGGCCATACCAAGCGAGATCGACTGAGGAAAAGACTTTTGCGAAGTTACTTTATTTTGTTGTCCAAAACTCGTCTAAATCGAGACGATGATAATGAAAAGAGTTGGTGGTGCTGCCCCAAACTACAAAAATACTTCCATCTCCAGGGGGCCCACCTCAAAAAGCAACACGAAAAACACAACCTTTGCGAGGATGCTTCACGAACCACAACCTTCCACTTTGTAAAGTCGTAAGAATACTTTTCCAAAAAATTTTACAAAAGCAGGGTCCCACCTTTCCATTTGGGGCATCCTTGGTAGGAGGGTAGAGGAAAATTCCGCCATATAGCAACGTTCGATGGATATCAGCTACCATTGAACCAACGTAGCGTTGTACCATTGCTTTTTTACCTTCCTGCAAGTAACTTTTTTATTCAAAGAGAACTTGTAGAAACACTGTTGATATTATCGTAACTCTTGAAAGAAACTAAAGGGAACATACCTTTGGAAACTTTCTAGTATGAATATACTCAGTAAGACCTTTGGACCAATGCTTTGCATATCCTTCATTGATACTGTAGATTTTCCCTTTTTCAGGAATTCTCATATGTGGATGAGTAAGTATGAACTCGCCAATGCTCTATAATGGAATAATTCAATATCGGCTGTTACGTCACCGAAAAACTGATGGTGGTCAGAGAGTGAGGCCGAGTTGTGCGTGCAAGGGCTTCCTCTAATTGGAGGACGTCCAGGAACGACCAATCAGAAATTCTCTAGAAAGATGCCGCGCTGCTAACCGTTTCCGTCAGATTCGATCTCAAAAGCGCATTTGTGAT